TGACGAATCGTTGACATTTTGTTTGGAAAAAGACATCTATTCGTAGCATTCATTATTTCGATTTCAAATTTACATCAAAATTAATTTAAAAAGACCAACAGTTAACAACATTATTGGTACTCATGAAAGCAATCATTATTACATCGAATTGAAGATTGTCGGCTGTTTTTGTTTGACGGAACTGTCTCATGGCTCAGATGCGAATTCAATCCGTACTGAGTGCCACTATGACAAAGGTCAATTCGTAATGCACACACCCGATGATGAAGCAATCAAATGTTGGGCTGGCAATTTGAGTTTGTTTTATTCTATCTTCCCTAATTTTATTTCTTTTCCATCATTCATTTCTTACTGATACTATGAAGGACCGAATAAACGAGTAGAAAATTTCCATTAATCAATACACCATTAGTCACCATTGTGTTGTCATTTGAAGGTAACGAGGCAACATTTATTACTGTTCCTTACCTTTTGATTATTAATCTTCTGTTGATATAAATGATCATTTGATCAATGATAGTAATCACTTTCACTTATCTCCTTTCTTCTTTATCACTTTTCTAATTTTTCATCTTTCATCTTTTACTTTTTCATAGGTATGAATGCAACTCATGCAATTATTTTTGCTCAACTTTATATCAATCATACGTGCCATGGATTGCATGCATTTTGCATACAAATTCGTTATCTCAAGAAAATGTTACCATTGAAAGGTATAACGATTGGTGATATGGGAGAGAAAGTAGGTGCCTGGAATGGTATTGATAATGGGTGGATCAAATTTGATAGGCACCGTTTTCATTTGGATGCATTACTAAATCGATTTGCAACCGTTCTACCGGATGGTACTTATCAATCTATTTTTAAGGTGAATAAACTTTTTCAATTTCCTATTTCAAAATTTCACTTTCATATTTAATTATGATATCTATTTATCGTTATTTCACACAAAAAAAAAAGTGAAAATTTCTCTTTTAATTTTTTTTCTATTCCAGAATACCAAAGAACAACAGTTAGCAAGTTTAGCCATTCTATCTATTGGACGCGCAGCTGTCGTTGGCAAAGGCGCAATGGCAACTCGACTTGCTTCCATAATAGCAACACGCTATTCAGCTGTTCGGAAGCAATTTCGCGCTGCCAATCATGCAGGTGACAATATTTCTGTAAATGTTTTCTTTTAAATTAAAATATCACTTAATATAGTGATAGAAAGAAAGATGGAATTGAAGGCAGAATGCTTTAATGATATGATTATTGCGTAATCATGCCTTATAATATCATAATATATATCTGATACTTATCAATGGTATATTTATCATCTTCCAGAAGAGCGATCAATCATCGAATATCCCATGCAACAGCGACGATTTTTCCCGCATATTGCTGCATCAGTGGCTTTGACCATTTTTTATCGTAAATTTATTTTGATTTGTTATAAGAACTTCTTCATATGTTGTACGAAAGATGAAAGACTTCCATATGAGGTTTGTTTGAAATTACCATTTGTATCACAATATCAGGGAAGGTATACAGTTGATAAGCATGTCCTGATAATATGCTAATAATAAGCTTTACTGTTGAAATTTATAGTTGATGCTATCACGAGAAATACAAATTCTTAGTTGTGCAGCAAAGGTATTATCAACAGAAGAAGGTGTTAATGCTTTAGATGATGCTCGTCTTGCTTGTGGTGCGTACGGGTTTGTTGACATTTCATTTTATTTCAAAAATTTTGATTAAAAAAAAAAAGTAGCTCAATCATTAGACATAATAACTCTATGGGATAACTTTTCTGATTAATATAATTTTAGAAAGTAACCGAAGAGTAGTAACAAAATTTAGCTACTTTACTACATTGTGGGGAATCATATTTTTTTAATGTAAAATCATTAAGCAATTTTAGAAATCTCTAAAAATTCCCGATCTTTTGATTTGGAGCAAAGTACAATTTCATAAAAAATTTCAATTTAGAACCTTAAAAAGATTTTTTTTCTGGCTATATTTTTAAACAACGAAACATTTAACCCTTATTTTTTTTTTTAGATTTTTAAAAAGTTCAAGATTGAATGATCTTCGAGATGCTTTTGATCCATCACGAACTTTTGAAGGTGACAATAACATCTTAATGCAACAAGTAACCTATGCATTACTTTCATTATCCGAACAAAGAACATATAACTGGAATGATTCACCTCTTCGAAGTTTGGTATTTTTATCTAAGAAGCCGGAAAAATTCTTAGCCTGGAATGATGATCCCTTAGAAGGTCTCTTCATACCAATTTTAATATGAAATTCTTTTAAGTTTACTTAAATACTCTAATAACATAATTAATTTGTTTAGCAAACAATTAATAGTATCTTTTTCTGTTTTATGATAAATGATATAGTTTGAGGTACACTTCTTCTTTTTCCTGTCCACACTGATTTTATAACAAATATTCTTTCTGGACATTGGTCATTTTATTGTTTTTCAATAAGGAACTGATACTTTCTCAAATCCTCCAATTTGCTATAGATTAGCAATAGCTTATCATCAGGGTTATGGATATTATTTAGTATTTCAGGCAGCATAAGATGGCCTATATCATGTAATGACGTGCCAAATGTCATTTACCTTCAACAGTACCAACATAATCTTTGGCTAGTTCATTTCTGATATAATTATAGCTTATAGATATCACAAATGCTTATATATGGTTATTGCATTTCCTCATTTCAACGGTCAAAAACAATATCAAAGATAAAGTTGACCAAGGAGTTGATGAACGGCAAGCTAAATTGGAAGCACAGGATGAACAATACAGAATGATTACGTATGCATACTGCGAATTAGCTATATTAAATTGTTTTCGAGAATCTTTACAAACAGCTCCGGAATTTATCCGAGAAGTTTCACATCAATTGGCTGCTCTGTATGCTTATAATTCCATTGATAAGCACATCGCGACACTTTACATTGGTCAGTATTAAACGATTAGATATAATTGATCCGTTAATTATCAAAAATAAATCATTTGATAATTATAATTTTAGCAAAAGTTACAAAATGATAATATCAATTTGCAGGTGGTTACTGTATCAATGGACAATGGGGTAGTATTGTAAAGAAACGTCTTCGTGAAATAGAAACTATCATTCTTCCTGATGTTATTTCAGTATGCGATATGCTTGCTCCACCAGATTTCTTCTTACATTCTCTAATAGGTTCTAATGATGGGCAAATTTATCAACGTCTTATTCAGTATTTCATGCAATATCCCATAGAAATATCAAATGATAATGATAATAATTAATAAATTAAACAAAAGAAATTCGATGAAATGGATGGATAATCATTGTAATAGTAATTTCATTGAATGTAAATTTCTATTGAATACAATTGTAAGAAAGGATAAATGCAAATTTGCAAAACAATATGATTGATAATAAATATCATTTTACTCTCTTAATATTTCAATCCAATTATGCAAATGAATATTGTTGTAATGAAACATGTTAATGGATGATATTTAACAATAAATCATTTTTTCGAGATTCAATTCTGTTTCTTCTTCCAAATCGCAATATTTAGCAATGTAAGGCCAACCATTTATTATAGTCATTAATTGACGACGACAATGTAATGCAATTGGTGATCTAATAATACAGTATTATTAGTTTCAATGAATTAACAAAAATTAATACATTTATACTTCATAATATACATATATGAAAATTTTAATAATTTCAATGATAAAATATTGGGATGTTTTATTAAAATCAATTAATTAAACTTTATGCAAAAATTTTTGCTAACAGAAAAGTATTTGAACTGAATTGTTTTATAAAGATGAAATGTATGTGTATATTTATGATAAATATATGTAAATTACAGTTGTAAAACTTACGCATACCAACTACTCATTGAAGCACATCGTGGACATTTTACATGTAGAACAGATGAGAGAATACTTTTATTCATGTAAATCTTAGCAAGCATTTCGTTCGTTACTTGAGGTGCCTTAAAAATTAAAGTTTAAATTTCAAGAAAATTTCAAGGTTTTGTTCTCTGCAACAATCCATTGACTGTAATTAGTTTAAAATTAAATAGGAACTCATATTTCAATGTAAATTTATCTTTATGAATGTAAATTTGGGATAGTAAAAAAGAAAAAAAAATGTTGATTTTATTGACCTTTGACTCTTCCCTAAATTTAAAGAATTGCACAAAACAGATAGGTTATTACATTGCAATCTCATGTAACATTTCAAATTAATAACAGATCATTTCATTAAAAGTGAACAAACTAACTCGAATATCTGTTTCGGGTGTAATGTATTCATATGGTAATGGTACACCAAATAAACCACCGCAACTTCCTGGTGGTGCACGTTCGTTGTCGTATATTTTTGAACCACTACCTTCTAGTAACCAATTATGACATGGTACCTAAATAATTCTCAAACTTCAAATTTAAATTAAATCACGTCAGATCTTTACTGCAAATCTATGAAATAAAAATAGGAGAAATACAGGAATTGTATGCTATAGACTGAAAAAGGTTAAAGTTCATGATCATATTTGATAGTTTACCAGATTAAAATTTATTAATAAAAAAGAAATGAGAGAATATGTGGAAAGTAAAACTAAAATGATGTACTGTGTTAGTGGAAGTGAAATCATACCATATGTATCTTATGAATACATTTCGTTGAATTTGTTATTGTTTTTTGTAATGCCCATATCTGTGCACCTTTACCAAAATGACTACTACATAAATCCTGTAGTAAATTACCGTATACGTATAGTAATATAATAAATTATATATTTTTTATCCATAAAATATTTATTCATTTTTATTTCTAAATATATCACTTCTTATTATCATCCAATTAGTAAAACACTAATTTTTTTTTAAAAAAAAAGAAAATGTGACTAATTTTATACAGTATTTTACTGTATATCTTACATAATTTTACAGTATTCTTTCATTCTTTCATTCTTTCATT